TTCAAATCACTGTATGTGATCGAACTGTATACATGCATCGTGTTGCGCGTTTGTTAAAGCTTTCCGTACGAGGCACAGTGCCGAGAGTTACTGTAAGTTACCAAGAGTGACAGCCAATAGTCTTTCAGATAAATTCCCACTTACGGGATTTTTTGTTCGGAGTATTCTAGTTCTCGTTCAGCAGCAGAAACGATGGCCTTTGCTGGATTCTAAGATGATGGCACTGAAGAAAATCTGCCTTACGAATAAATATATCAAAGTCAAGATGGCATAGTAGTTTTAAGTGTCATATTGAAAGATAGTCTTCAAGAAAACTTAATCTACACGCTAGCATTGGCAAAATAACGCAAAGTAAACTACTTTTGCGGACACCTTATCATTACGGACACAAAGTATTTAAGCTGACGTGAGACATTAGGAACCCAAAGGTGTCCGTTGGAAGGGAGTCGACCGCATAACAGTAGGGGGCTTAAGCAAACCACGACGACGACGGCAACGAGAACGTCACCAAACAAAAGGTTCGAGGAAAACAAAAGTTGTGCAGGTGCGTTATAAATCTCTGTCCATTTCTTTACCGTCCCCTGCTAAACAAGAACGTGAAATGACCAAGTTCTGCGTAGTCTTAGGAACGCGAACGACCACGGTTAAATTTTGGTATTTCCATTTGATATTGAACGCTGTCATTGCATATTTAGCCTAAGCACGTTTTTAGAGCCATTGGCGTACTGAACAGATCTAGAAATTGCGAACGCGCCGGCGTTGTCGTTACTTAAGCTCCCTAGTGTCGCAAACACAAAGAAAATCCCAAAATCTGTTAAACGATAGAACAGAATGACAAAGAGCAACCGGAATAGTGAAAAATGCACGATTTCTTTTTTTCACAATTTCTATTCCTAATCTTCTTCATAACCCTTACGTCAGATATCACGCAACGCCCAAGACACGCGACAGAACAACGAACAGAACGCCCGCCAAGGCATGTAAAGAGTCCATCATGCACATAGAAACCAGTCTCCTTCGGACAACGTTACATTTTTCATGCAACGCTTGCGTTACGCCCCATATAACTGCGTTGAATTTATCCTCAAGGTAATACTTCAAAATAGTGAGAAAGAAACAATTGTATACCACTTGCTCAAAATTTAAACGGTTGCATATATAGATTTCTTTTGACGGAGAGTACGTTGAACGTAATTTGTACCAGAAAGGAAATTAAAACGCTCGGGAATCCCTTACGTTTCTTCTGTAGCTGAGATGCAGGCAAAAATAGCCCAATACAGCGCAGGTTTTATTTCCACGGCTCACTCGAGTCCTGTCTATCTGGTAATCCAGCCTAAATATAGCGTGACTTCCAACTGTCTTGCGTTTCTGATTAATAATTAACTTTTTACAAAACATGTTCCATTCTATTCACCTTTGATTCCTAGATTACTTTTACGAGCCATTACGAAAAACTGGAAAACGATACGCTAGACTGTACATTTTTTTTAAAACGTTCTGTGATAAAAAGTTATGTTTTCTTTTAACATGAAATAAGTTAATGCTAGTGAACAGGAGCTGATCAGAAGCAGCTTGTACGGAGCGATGACTTGTGTTCTACGTCGTGTTACGCCATGGATCTTGTTTTGTTATCACCTGTAAAATCAACAAACTCCAAGTCAGATCCAGCGCCTACAAGTTTAACAAAGTTTACAACGTTAAAATGCTTGGTTCAACAAGTAATACTTGTCGAAACATATCAGAAATCAAGTACAAGAAATCAAGTATTCCTTTCCATTTAAAGTGGGGTTTAGATCTCAAAATTCTTCCCAGTTTGTTACTTTGCAGAGATTCCCAATTTCTACACTCAGTTCAGGGTGAGGCTAGAGTTTAACGGAAAATACGTCACGCAAATTTATGCAATTTTAGTTCGGACCAACTTAGCATAGAATGACCTGAAACTGTATTACAATAACGACTGAAAACTGAACAACCCAAGAGAATCACAGAAACGCTAAACAGTTGTACGAATAAACTTAACAGGAGAAGATAACAGACTACCTTTGCGTAACCTACAAAAGAATCAGCCCATTATAAATAAATAAATTACTTACAACCTAAAACCCCATTTACGGACATAACACACGTATTAGGTAAAAAGCAAAAATTAAAACGACTGAATACTTGAGAATTTAACGTTTGTAATTAGATCTCGATAAACTGGCTAGACTAGCACTTCATGTAGCTATCCACGGGCCAGTCTAGCCATAAAGATGCAAACAGAGGAACAACAACAACAACAACAACAACAACAACAACAACAACAACAACAACAAGAACAACAACAACAACAACAATTGAAGATTGAAAAATTGTGCATACGTGGTTTGAGAATCGTATTTTTTGCATACTCACCTTTTAGAACGCTTGACATTGTCTATAATCTTTTCTACAAAGCCGTCACTGAAGCCTGGACAGGACGTCTCTATTGATTTGAACGCCTCAGTGAGGTGCTCAACTGAACGCCCCTGGCTACTGTGACTTGTACTGAGCTGAAACAAGAAAACATTCTAAGATGACTATCGTGCCAAACTTAGATCAAGAATCAAAAGGACACAGCGTCCTGGATAAATGTTGTGTTCAATATGGCTGGGAGCGACACGAGTATAACGCCGACCCAGAGTCACACTGATTGAGTTAGACATGACGCTAGTACGACATTCGGATACGGGCCTTGGACCGACAATACAAGCTTCCTTTCTTTCCTGCCTCAGAGCCTGTTGGAAACCTGACAAAAACAAGATGATAACTAGATTTCTCTTCTTCCATTTCTTTGTACTCGGGTTTTGAGTGTTGCTCCAAGCTCACAGGTTGTGGTTTTGTGGTTAAGGCTAGTTAATTTAATTTTCCAGAGTCCCTACTACAGAAGTCTTAGTCACTGTATGCTACAGAGCCATCATGTCTCTGATGTCTTTAGTTAGAGCAGACAACTTCAGACTTGACACAAAGTGACTTCTTCCCAGTGCGGTACACGAGGAAGAAAGTGCTCAGACAGGAAAAGAATTAAGAAAGTCCAGACACTGCTCTTGACTGACTAATTATAAAATGTTAAATGTACTTACCTTGGTCAATGCTGGTAATAAAACAGTTGATAAATATTTTGATGGAGGTTTCTCTTCTTTATTTTTCACCTTTGACACCTAAATGTTAATCCAGAAATAAAAAGTTAACATCAGAAACAACCACGGTATATATCCATTTTAGGACCAAAAATTCAACAATCACTTGATGTCTTTTAAGTTTCTAAATCAACACATCACTGACCAAAACGGTACGATTATGCACTTAACTCAATGTTAGTCATGTAGATGGTAAAGATTATCTGCGAGAGAAATCATATTTATTTAGCGACGTACTTTCAAAAATTTATTTTGTTGCTGCGGCAATAAATAGGAAATCTTTTTTTAATGCTAAAAGCTCCCTTAGAAGGACAAATTTTTGTTTACAAATTGAAGGACGTCAATATATAGTGTACTCAGACATACACACCCCGCATGAGATTTTCGACTACTCAGAATTAATTTCTTTCAGGTACTGAATTGAGGTCCCTTTACGTCAGCATATCTGATTATCCAGTCTTACGATTTTAGCAAATCTCAGAGAGTCTGGACAATTTAGGTTAGGCCGTACTTCGAAGTGCACAAGCAGAGTAAAGCTAGACATGACAACAGAGCAAGACATTTTTGAACGCTACTACTAATGAGGACTTACGTCAGGAGCATCTGTGTTATTTAACTCTGCAGTGGCATTATTTTCTGCTTTGGATGTTTCACCTTCTGCAGCAAAAGGATTTATTCGTTCTGGAGGAAAAATCCACTTTGAAGTACCTACTGAGCCTACTCCATCCCTGAAATGAGGAGAAATGGATAGAAACACTGAAGACCCTTCAGCAGAGATTTCAAATACTGTACATTTGACAGAGCTATACTACGATTCGGACTGGAACAAGAGAGTTTTGATTGCTATATGAAGTGCTGAAGTAATTTGCTTTCCATGAAAACTGTCCATGGAGAGGAAACACAGCTATGATGAGATGTCAAGTAAATAAACTTGTTCATTCAGTGCTTGATCCATAACTATCACCAATTTTGCAAACTAAAGCAAATTATATGGTGTCCCTTACACCCACTAAAGGAAACAGCCACAAGACTGTTTGAATTACATGTATGGCCAAGACATTACACTGATAATCAGTCAGTGGTTCACACGTACATGCATAAAATAATATACTTTGTTTCCTGTTAAACCACTATTTAGAAACCAATGTTGTCACAGGACAAAACAAAACAAAACAAAACAAAACAAAACAAAACAAAACAAAACAAAACAAAACAAAACAAAACAAAACAAAACAAAACAAAATTTACATGTAAGTATTTAAAAGAACATGTAGTTAACTTACTCTTCATTTTCTTCCCCTGAACTGCTGTCATCGTCATCCCGGCACTTTAGTTTCCAGTTTTTATACCTTTCTATTAATTCTACAAGAAAGGTATTTTTCTTTGCAGTTTTAATAAATCTGTGCTTCAGAAGCTCTTTAGCTGTTGGTCTCTGTAAAAAGAGAGCACCATTATTTGTATTGGCAATTAAATATTTACCATTTATAAATCTTCTGGACTTTTTAATTTAATTTTTTTTTCCTCCAGAGCACCACTGTCCAGCAAGTATAATTTATGAATATCAGTGCTATATAAATAGAATACACACTCATGTTCTATGTTATTGCTAATTTATCACTACTAACATGCAAAAGAGAGACATGTACCTGTAGAACTGCGTCTTAATTGAATTACTAGATACAGCTAACACTGCATATAAGAACAAAAAGTGTAATCTGAATCTTCTTGCAATCTCTCATCAAGTCTTCACAAAACAAACAAATCTGTAACTTCTCAAATGATTTCAACACAAAAATTAGTGAATGTAATAAACAAAGTTTTGACATCATTGGAATGTCATTGACAAGTAAATGTGTAGCTTAGTTTTTGCATTATAAAGAGATCTACATGTACTTGCAATTATAAACGTACGGTGGCAAATACTTATTTTCTTGACAATGACATCCTGACGATGTTGAAATGTCGTTTACTACTTTCACCAATTGTTGTAATAATTTTCTGTAACAAGTAGATATGACTGTAACACTAGAAGTCCAAAGGACACACATCACATTCTTCAACTACAATTTTCTTGAAGTTTTCAAATTTAAATTTGCTATCTTGATAATATTCTTCATCAGATCATTCCAAAGCAATTTTTCTACTGGTTATCACATCTCATCATCATGCCCCTTGAAAGTCTGCTACAAAAAATTCCCTTACTAAATTGTTCTAGTCCAGAGATGTTGCAACTGGCACCTGCTATTATGATCTACTCCAGGGTGACACTAACTTTTCAACTTACTAGCCTAGTGGCTAGTGATAACATAGATGTTACTAGCCAAGCATTGTGGTTGGCTACCTTATTACATGAGATTTTTGCGAGATGTTTATTTCACGATTTGGGGGTGTGCATATTTTGCGACACTTAAATTTGGTGATTTTGCAAAAAAATTTGTATTTTGAATCAATTTACCTTCGCGTTTTCGAGTAACACAAAATTTATTCCCTTGGCAATGTTACATCTTTGAATTTAGTAAACTGACTCTATCAAAGGTACAATAACGTCAAAAGTAACAAAAACACAATGGTGGTATTATATGTTAACAGTAGCATAATGTGTTATGTTCCTGACACTTACTTATTCGCGTCACTTTAATTTTGCAATTTTTTTTTAAATTGCGAAATCTGTAAAATTAATGTGTCGCGAAAATTTCAGGTAGGTCCAATAACAACAGAATTACTAGCAAGACTTGAAAGCACAACACAAGCGACTCTCTTTAATACATAATAATAGTAATTATACTGTACTTAAACTAGTTTAAAAAAAGTTCCAGTTACTGAAAAGACTTTCAGGACTCTGTTTTTCTCTGAGACTTCCTTAGAAAAATATCGAAATCCCCAAGACGCCACTGTAAAACTGTCAAGACTTCTTCACAGACAGGTGCCATAGAAATGTTTCAAAGGCAAAACAACTACCTGAACAATACTGTAAACTGCCCTAAAAATGGCTGGTTTAAATGTCGAAGGAAATAAATCTTTCTCATCTAATTATTTCTGTAGTGGTAAGTTTGCAAGTATGCATACAACGACAAATCACCCAATGTATTGTTACGCTAAATGAAATACTATCCCTTTACAGTTCTGCACTATTTTGTGCATGGAAAAAATTTCATAACACAAAAGAGCATTGATGTGTGCTTTCAGAAAATGCTGTCTTGTTTGACAAATGTTTCTTTCAACAAAAGTAACATGTTCAGTTCCCCGATTACTTACCACCCAGCGAAAAGTAGACAAGCTTAAATTTGCATACATGTACATGCTGAACAGCACATACCTGGTACCATGATATGTCCACAATGAAATTCTGACCTTGTTTCCGAGGAAAGTGTAAATTTTGTGTTTGTCTTCCTTGAAGGAGACAGAAACTAGTTCAGCCAATTTCATTTTGCTGACTAGTCAAAGTGGCTAGTGGGAATAAAAAACCTCCTAGCCAAAACTAAATTTCTACTAGTCTGTGGCTAGTTGGCTACTGTTAGTGTCAAGCCCTGCTACTCACATCATTAGGATCTTTATTTAGACACATGGCCACAAACTCCTTGAAAGCTTTACTGAAATTTCCAGTTAATTCAGGGGGGTTATTCTTGGGTATTAAAAATAAAACTCTCATGGGATGGAGATCTGAATTAGGTGGTTCTCCTTTGGCCAGTTCTATAGCTGTAATTCCCAGAGACCAGATATCAGCCTGTAAAAAAAGAACAAAATTAAGTCAGCAAAAACTGTTAACATTGAAAGCAATCACTTACTGTACATGTAGTTCTACAAAATGCATGCATTCTTGGTCCGTTAACACGAAAACCTTGGTGCTAAATGCCTCTAATGACAGAACTGTACTCTGTTTCTTTTTTTTCTTTTTTTGTAAAAGTAAAATTAATTATGTTTATTATATGGCTTGTGTTCATGACTGATATAAAACTAAATTTAAGTCCACTTTAAGGAAGGAAACACACCTTTGAGTCATAAGCAGATTGTTTTATCACTTCTGGAGCCATCCAGAATGGTGTTCCAACAAATGTATTTCTTTTGTTTAATGTGTCTGTCAGCTGTCCAGCAACACCAAAGTCAGCTAGCTTGACATCACCACTTTCTGACATCAACACATTTGCAGCTAAATAAACAGGCCAAACAAAAGTATAATAGGTTATGGAAATGTGGCCAGCAATACCACAGTTGCCTGACCATGCTTGCTTTCCTTGCTCTCTGATTCAGCATTAAAAATAATACTTTTATTGTTAGTCAAACAGGTGGAAAAGGCAGCCATAGCAGACTATTTATCTGCACACAAATTATGATTGGTTAATCAAAACATTTTGAACATGGTTTGTTTACTACATGTACATGAATAGTCTTCCTGCTTATCTCCACTTGTAAAAAGCCAAGTCTTCATGAAGTGTATTGGGTGGCTGGTTGAAATATTCACATGCTATGAAAAGTGTACATAATTTATGTACATGTATCTGCTTGTACACAGCATGCATAAGACAGAGAATGTGTATGACATGCAAACCATGTTCTCATATTCACCTTTGATATCCCTGTGTAACTTCTTTTCACAATGCAGATAGTCAAGGCCCTTTAAGATTTCTCGAATGATAGTTGCAATGTAGAATTCTTCAAATGCACCAGCCTTCATCTTATGTGAAACAAACCAGTAAATATGTTAATGTTGTTAACAACTGTATATCAAAATTGCAAAACACAATAGTGCAACAATGTGCAACAATTAATTTTACCTAATAACAAGCTTAATTTAATGTGTTTATTGTACACAAATTAGATCAATTTTCAAGCATAGGTATGACATTACATGCAGCTATTTCAGACTATCTATGTGTGTAAAAATAATAATTCACAGCTACATGTATATAACATGATTAGATATACAAAACGTACTCTGAATTCATTAGTTTAAATACTGTCAAACAAGGTTTTTTGATGTCCATTGAAACTGAAACCAAGCAAATCACTGAATAGATGCACGTACTTTCCAATGGAAAAAATGTGACCAGCCATCAAAACATAAATCCTAATGTAGCTGGCATGGTTGTGAACCTGATTAAACTCAGAGGAGCATATCCCTCCTTGCAATATAATACATGTACAAAAAGCACTAAAATGTTTGCTAACCAATTCCAGGTTCTTTTACTATATTGTTAATTAAGTACGCTTCTGGTTTGAAATTTGCCAAACCAATTTCGCTGTATTTGTCTTTTTCTGAACATTGTATAATGCCATTTAAATTTTTAAATTTTGTAATTTCCCAACCGTCACGAAACACTACATAACAATCTAAGATAATCATGCATACCAAGTCCAAGGCTGATCCTCCACCAAGGTATTCCATAATAATCCATAACTTTGTTCCCTGGTGACACACACATACACAAAATCAATATAACTAACAACCTGGACCCATGAATCCATGTTACAGGTCTTCAGGGTGCAATAAACATGATTACACTTTACAGTCTACAGCATATGGCTTATGGTAATTTCATTTGTTCTGACAGCACAGTCAAATTTTTGGAATCAAATCTCAGACATGCATGTTTCTAATAAAACTGACGGCATACTGAAGCCATTGAAAGATCACCGTAGACTGTTGGATTGATTTTTTTTGTGTGCCCAAAAATTTCAAAACTGAGTAACAGTGACACAGAGATAGTGTAGGATATCTATGGATGTAGGTGCTATGTCAATATGGAAGTTTGGTTGTCAATCAGTAACCTCGGAAATCTTGCAAGTCAAGGTAAAGTCAAGGATGTGATGAGAACATTCTGTGACACTGCAAGTGATTGCAGCCCTGTGCATTTACGAGAGGGTAAACAGTATATTTCATATCATTTTTATTGAATCCTGATGTCAGAGTAGAATGTACATGCATGTAAATTCTTGTGTCACTCTCTTTCAACAGAACTACAACATGTTGTTCCAGAAAATAGTGGTGCTTAATATCAATATAAAAATTCAGGAATTGGGTGAAAAAAAGGCAATCTTTTTTCAAAAGATATTGTGTCCTTGAATGGAAAAAACAGTCAAGACAGTTGTTTTGTAATGCAGGTATATAAATGTGAACTGTGCAAGAAATACATGTACGTGTACATGTACATACAGAAGGGACTGCCAGTTGGAACTGGGGTGCTTATAGACAAAATATCACTATTTAAAAGGGGCAGTAATTAGAACTAAGGGTGCTTATTAGATGCTTTTTGGCATAGAACTAAAATTTCAGGCATCTAGCACAAGTACAGTTGAACCTCAGGTTGCGACCACTTCTTGTGAGCAGCCACCTATCCTCAGCAACCATTTTTCCAAAAAACCAAAAGTTTCTGTGTCAAATCACTATATTTGGAACCTCTTGTACATGACCACCGCTTGTAAGCGACCACGACCACTCTTACAGAATGTAGAACTAAAAGTTTGAAATTTTCTTTTGTTTTTAACCTCTCGTAAGTGACCAATTGTCAGATAATAGAGCGGAAATTAGATAATGTGACGTGACATTATCACATTCCTGGGTAGTACAAGGCACGTTAATTTCTCAATGGGCACTATTAGATTTTCCTTGAAATTGACGTTTCACATGAATAAAACATTTAAAACATGGGTTAAGTCCACGCAGTCACCATATGCTAATGAGACAAAAGTTTGCAACCACCTCCCACAACCACTTAGGCTTCACATTTTGAGTGGTCGCTTATGGGAGGTTTAACTGTATATTCATTTAATGACACATTATGAAGTATAAGGAGGGTAACCTTGGAACAGTATTCTGAAAGTGAAAGTCAAAGCATCGCATTGATAGATTACAGTTGTAATACATTCCAATTCACCCACATATAATCTCACATCTGAAGAACGAGACTAGAAGAAACAAATTCTAGCAGTGCTGTAAATACCTTGAGATATGAGCCATGATATTTTGTAACATAAGCACTGTCACACTGGGATAGGACTGTGATTTCCTGCTGAATGTCTTCAATTTCATCCTCAGCTTCCTCTAAATCAATTATTTTAATGGCAACAACTGTATTTGTCCTATTGTCTATGCTGTTGAAAAGAAGAAAAAGAACAAGAAAACAAAAGACATGTAAATAGACATTTGATCAGAGCAGAAATATATACATGTATGTTGTGGTTTTAATTTTTTTGGTTATCTGCTTTTTTTACATCATGTAATGACCATGAGACAGGAAAATGAAAACCACCTGGTTTGAAAAATTGCCAATAAAAACATATTCATGTCACAACAAACACAAAGTCCACTGGATCATAAACAGCTTGTGTTTTAACTTGCTCAGAATTCAGATCAAAGAAATTCTTAACTACATTACAGTAAGGTAAAAAAAAAAAAAATGCCACCAAACTACAGCAGCAACAATACCACTATTAACATAATAAACAGATCTGGGCGCAGATGGTCAAGACTGGGAAAAAAATGACTGCACAGTTAGCATAACTCACAACACAAACTTGATCCTATCACAATTATTGAACTATAGAATAAGAAAGTTATTCCATTATAAATGTTAATGACTGAAGAGAACTGATCAAGCAGATTTCAATTATTGACTTTCATGGCAATCTATAGGCTATTTCCAAGTTGCTTTTTGTCTTGTGAGTCAAAATGAGCCACGCAAAACTGCTCAATTTCAAGTGAAAAGTTCCCCGCGAAGAGTTGGTTTTGAAACATTGGCAGGAGGTAACTCAAAGAGGGCTTGTTTTGTGTTTGCACTGATCCTGCTTTGCCAAGTCGCTCTGTAATTAATTACAATGTACATTAAAGAAAAAAACCCTGCACACTATTCTCTGATGAACAAGGGTAACTACACTCAGGAATATGGACAAAGCAAAATCCCCAACAAAACTACTGGCATAGCAAACATCATCATCCTACTTGGGGTAAGGTATATCATCATATCTCTGTTAGTAAATGTGCTGTGATTGGTCAATTTAGTGGGCCATATTCCACTATACGGACCACTAAAAGTTAAAGCTGTTTTTGTCGCCAAAATGTTTCGTGATTTATTGCCAAGCGTTCTTAACTTTTTAGCAAGTAAAAGTTGAAAACTTTCTTTTAGTTCTGAAATTGTGTATTAAAACCAGCTAACGAATTAAGAGTCACTTAACAACAATTTCATATCGACTCATTTTGCTTTGAAGTGTGTCAGAATTTGAAACTGTTCTGCCTGAATAGAAATCGTTCCCGAGCCTGTCAGACACACAGTGGAGATAAAATAAATATCTTACTGAGTTTGAGCACTGTACTGTAGGATATGGATCCTCATTTTCCCCCTTCAATTTAAGGCCCGTACACTTCGCCCTTGGGCCATAAATTGATGGGGAAAAACTTGGTCTGTAACTTACAGTACCGCCCTCAAACTCCGTTAGTAAGAGGTCTTTATACCACTCAGGGTTGTGTAGGTGGCTTCATTGTTGGATAGGGAGGCTGATTTTGCCAACTTTCTCTCTTTTTTTTTTCAGAATCAGACAAATATCCCAGTACAAAAGCCAGCTATGACTGGGACGCAGATGGCAGCTTTTGCCGTTTTACAATCCTGGACTTGCCTTTCAAGTGCACATCTTACGACTACCTTTTTTATTTGGCTTGTGAGTATCATTTTAACACCAATAATTATTACCAGCGTGATTTTTCAACCCTAGCTTCCATTCTGATGTGATGTGCCCTGGTTCTAATTGTCAAGAAGAAACTACATGTATTTTGACCTAGGGTTATGACAGTAATAGAAATTTGTAAAAGGTATAACTTGGATACCACAAGCTTACAACATCTTTGGCAAGCTGTAGAGCACATGCTTCTTTTTGTGCAGTGACATTTCACACAGTATCACCGTGTATTACCACTGTGACAATTGATGGCAATCAGATCAATGTTTTCTTTTGTTTACGGTTGGGAACCTTGGGAAACACATGAGATTTGGCTTTGACCCTGATGTAAACAATGAATCATACCATATATAACTCTACCATATCATGAAAAATAACTTGTCACATAGTCACGATGATGTTTCACCCTTTTGTAAACCTTATTTGAAGTTTGCCAGATATTAGACACGGGCAGGGACTACACATAGCCTTATATAATAGAACCCAAGACGTTCACATGTAGATTGTAATAAAACGAAGATGATGCCCTTTTATAGAAATTTTCAAAACAGGTTCAGTTGTCTTATTTCAGGGATGGTGAGCAATTAAAAAGCGAAAACAGAAAATGTGAATGTGGTCAAGTAAAGACGTCATTTACATTTTGGTTAACACATTCGACTTAATAATCTTGAACCAAATTGACTAACCTCTGTGCAAACAAACAAAATTTATTGTGCAAAAAACACAAAAACCTCTTTGAGTCGCTATTAGAATTTTCCTTGTGATAAACGATCTCATTCAAAGTAAGGTCATTTCTATTTTGTCTACAAGGAAGCAAACATTCGTCACTTACCCTTTGTATACTTCACCAAAGGATCCTTTGCCGATTCGTTCCAGTTTCGAAAATAGAAGTTCTGGGTCAGCCTTCATACCCTAAATGCAATATATCAAGTCACTAATAAGATAATAACACTATTGAAGGTGTGCGAAAGGTGTGTATAGCTATATTCTAATTGACAAATTAAAATTTGTATCGGGAATTCTTCCAAAGGCTAATAGTTAATTCGAGCTTTGCAACTTTGAAGTTTAATTACTGGTGGAAAGCATACTACCTCGAGATTTGAAAACAATCTCTTCATTAACAATGAAATAAAATCCTCACCACGTTATTTTGTGCTGCCATGAAGAAGATTGCAGTTACCGGAACAATTCATGTAAAACGTCCTACGGAACGTCGGTTGACTTCGTTGGATTGTTGTACCCTCCTTCACGGCTAAATTTAAGTGTGCACCAACAACGAAACTATCATAATGCTATCAAAGAGTGCTGCACACTGTGTTTCTAAACGAAAATGTTAGTTTTCCCAAGGCGTTTTACGAAGAAAACTCTGTGTAAAATCCCACTTCCCTGCAGTTCGAAGGCCGCCATTCTGCCATTATGTCGCGCTCGGCTGAGAACCAGTGTACAAATATGGGTATGTCACGTGACGGAAGTAAATCACAAAACAGCCCGACCTCTAATGGTCCCTATTCTGAAAGGAACATTTTTGGCACAGGGCACGCCGCTATTACACTGGAGCGTGTTAGAGGCATTGAAATTGTTTATATTGGTCAAAATTTCACACAGAATCAAAGTTATCTTCCTCAAGGATAAGAACAGCTCTCGCTCTTTGAGCACAATTTTCGATGAAAGTAGATTTTTATGCTTCTCGTATTCATAATTATCGATTTTCGCTTTGGCACCACCTAATACTTTCCCAGTGTGGCAAATAGTGCTAAGCAACTCATGTCACGGAGATTGGGTGAAAACTTTCAAGGTCTGACTCGCGATTCCTTCCTCGATTTACAATCGTAAACTTGGCACCATTCCTCCCTCTGTTTCAGATCAAGCTTGTTTCCAGGACTCCTCTCCTCCATTGGGTTGCACGCAAAGGATTATAAACTTCACAACGGTGTTCAATACGCATGTTTATTCATTCACTTTTCTATGCCAGAATCCCATTCCTGATTTACAATTTAAAATTGTTGATAAGTTATAGTAGTATTTCTGTGTGACGATGATATAGAGGGATTTCTTGTTATTCTTACTGAATTACTTTAGTTTTCGAATATTTTGTAGAGTGAATTTCAACGAATGATTCTGCTTTGAAAGTAATACAACATAGACTTTGGGCAAGACTTTGATCTACAATGGCTGAGACATCTTTCTGTACACGTATCTGTTACCAAATATGAATGTTATCTTAGTAGGAATGTTGGAGGACTGGAATCGATATCTCGTGGATAGAATGTTGCGGCGTTAACCCGCCACGCCGCACTCATACAATATGGAATAGACATGCGATAAAAGAGTTAAGCAATGCTCTCTCGAGATAAGTCGTGATAAACAACTAAAAATTAAATTACATCTGGGAATGCTTAAGTAAGTCTTTGTCGGTTCATTCTGATCAACAGAAGAACTGAAAAGATAAAACATTCCAAACAACGATGATAAATGTTGAACAGTTCGAAAAATCACGGTGAAGGTTTCTTCTGAATTTGCAGTGGTAGAAAATGTAATTCACAGTGGTCAAACGCAAGGAAAAAAACACTAACAAGACTTCTGGGTTAACGTTGCCTAAAAGTTTGTAAAAGTTTTGAAGGGAAAATGTGCAGAGGTCAACGAAATTACAAGGTGATGTTATCTACCTAGTTTATCAGATAAACTAGGTAGATGACAGTGCCAAGCTTATCTATGCAGATCTGGCTTACGAATATCAACGTTTCAGCGAATGTCTTAACTTTTGGTTCAGAGAAAAAGGGAGCATTTACTGGGGGAAATGCACGTGCGCAGTGCGATTGACCGCTGGCGAGATCTGTGTTTGATTGAACAAGGACAAGTACAAGTTCAGATTAACTAAAACTGTAAACGAGTGAGTTCAAAAAATAAAAGTTCTTTCACAAAATAAACTATTGTAATAACCATTCCGTTGATTAAGGCAATCTCTTATCATCCACGCTGCCAAATTGTAAACAGGCATAAGGGTTGAAGATTGTGTCCCTGCACCTTGTATCCGTCACACTAGAATTTTTAATTCTATTTTGATGCGTTTTTTACGGAACCAACGCGGTGACTAGGACCCATTCTTCTCTCAGTATATGCAGCAAAACACTCGTCTCAATCCATTTATGATGCGCTCTTCACGTGCTGTCCTCGTGTTGTTCACGTGGCTTCTGCTGCAGCAGTAGTCTGTTCTTTACCAAGCTCTTCCTGCAATAAATCCAGCGATTGTTGCACCTACGAGAAAACACCACAATAACACTTAGGCCTTAGTCGCATATTTATTTATTTGGTGGATCTAGCGTTTATAAAAGCTGCTTGATTTCAATAGCAAATTTCCCTATTCCTCATTTTCTAATCAACCTTGAGACGAACATTCTTCAAATCGAATTAAACAAGTTTCTAGCTTATCCGCGCAATTGTGTCCTCCAGCACAAAATGCTGGACCTATTTGTCGTGCGCTTAAGCTTCCCCCGTGAGGTACTCCTATTGTTCTCTAATTGAATAAGACAACTTTGAAGCTCTGCGGGAGATTTTCGGTTTCTGCGGCATGAAAAGACTAGAAGGCTGGCCTAAGAGTTGGCCAACACCAATTTGTACACCTGGGTGGAGAGAGGTACTGTGAGAGTAAAGAGTCATAACACAGTCGCCTTGGACAGGGGTTGAGTCCAACACGCTCACCGTTATATTAGAGCATCGCACCAAACCAGTGGATCTATGCATTTTAAAATAAATACCTGATTCATTAACTGGATAGATGACGCAAGGACATCTCGCCATCTGAATGATAAAACGACACATAAGAAAAAGAAAAAAAGAAAAAAAAAAACGTTAAAGGACATCTTGCAACAAAACATCACTGAAGAATTGTAGGAAAGAGATAAGAGTTTCGTCAAATTAAATTGCTCTGTATAATGTCGTAATGACACGACACACGAGGTACCTGCAACTAAACCCTGCAAGTAGGTCTGTCTGAACTACCCATTGTTGTCAGAAGATCTAGTAACAGAGGCCAAAATTTGGGCCTGCGCCTTGTCCCAGCAATTTGACTGAATTGCAAAGAAGAAAGAAGTCCCTGGGAACTTGTCACTCCGAATTATGGTTAAAAGTTGAAAAAATAAACGATTCGTAGCAAGAACGCTATAAGGAACCTTTGCTCGGCTTCCATGTGCTTGAACGCTATTGACGGCATTACACACAGTTAGCGCGCATTTGAACGCATTTGAATCCACTTAGAGTGCGTGACGCAGTTGCATGCACTCAAAGTGCGTTAGAACGTATTTACATTCACTAAGCGCATGTTTGAACGCATTTGCAATCCCTCAGCGCGCGTTTGAACGCATTTGTATGCACTCAGTGCACGTCGGAAGGCATCTGTATGCACTCAGTGTGCACTTGAGCGCATTTGTATGCACTCAGTACGTTTGAACGTCACGTATTTACACTCACCTTCTCATCTCTACCTCCTGAACATGTTTTTGTTGTTGAAGTAGTTGGGCCCATTGTTGAGCATCAACCGGAAGGTCCCTGTAGTAAATTAACAGAAACGTAATAACAAATTAACATGCGTGTAAGGATGCAAACAAATAGCTTGTGAAGGTCCTTTGCTAGGAGGGACAGATTTTTAGAGATATTTGACGACATAGTAAGAAAAAAAATTGTTCAACGTTCTACTGGTTCTGTGAGGAGTTTCATCAACGAAACAAGAAAAAGTAAAGGACGGCTTATATCCGGGGGCCTTATAACCAGAATAGTCACATTTAGATGGGAATATAACCGGGGTCTCATAAACGAGAGAGAGGGGGGAGGGAGGGGGGGTGGGGTTGGGGGGTTTACAACCGGAGTTTTATGGTAACCCATCCACCATGAATACTTACTTGATAGCTCCATCCCAGTGTATTCCTGTCTGAGTTGCGTGCTCTAGTAACACGAGTCTGTACACGAGAACCACATTAAGCAAAAGCAACGCACCAAGCCTAAAGAGAAAGCATATCAACAGTGATCATCATACAGTTTTTTCTCACATTATCAATACATTAACAAGCAAACAGGTGATGAGAATAACAAAAATCATCATCTGACATGACAGTTTCCACAGTGGAAACCGAAACTGACTTGGTGGATGTCTGTAGAATATTCACGCACCTAGTTTTCTGTCAGTCGGTGGCAAGTCAAACGTTCCCGCCGCTACAGCGCAAACGTTTGTTTTCAAACTTACCCCTTAACACAGAAGGCGCAAGAATAATGTAGGGTACGAGAAGATAGATGTGCGAGGAAGGGGACAGACGCGCGGGGAAGGAGTGAGACGCGCGAGAAAGGAGACAGACGCGCAAGGAAAGCTGGGTATTCAGGCCAGCTGCCCAGCTACTAATCTCCCTATTAAAATGTCACAGTCTCTGTCCCGTGGGAAATCCACAACAGAGAAATGCGAGCTTGTCATCGCAGTTTGTCGAGTGAAACTTAATATCATTCGTTGTTATCAAAATTATATTTTTTATAAGAATTACTTAATTCTTGTATTAATTTTTCATTAACTGTATTAATTATTTATCTATTAATTGTAGTTATTTTATGTATCTTATTAGTACACGACCCCACAAGCTTGTTAGCTTTGACGTCTTTTATCGT